CCCCAAAACCCCAAAACCCCAAAACCCCATTTTCGCAGTAATAAATAGAAAATATGTCATGTAAGCATTTGATTCCCATCCTTATCCCATTATTGCCTCTCTTACATTCTTTTTGTACCTAATTCTGGGTTTAAAAGCTGCCTCTAGGTTACTATTTCTTGCTTTTAACTTTGCTCTGATCTATAAAACATGTTTCCAACATATTTGTAGAAGGGCAAACTCTGTAAACCCTAATTGATCCAATTTGTCAGTATAGCCCTAGCTTAATGTAGAGTTCTAACCTAGTTCTAGTCCCAGCTTCAAACATGTTTGACCCAAAAGTGTTCTTCTCGCCTAAAAAATTCAAGGATGTAGGCAAGGGTAGTCACCATAGCTAATTTTTAGAAAAGGAATATTTAATGAAAAGGTACCAAGCAAGGAATAATTTTATGAAATAAGGAAAATAATTTACCGAATTTGGCTGAAAAAGTTCCCTCTGAGATCCTTAGGAACAAAGATGCCAAGAATGTAGGGTGCTTTGTGAAGAAATTTAGATTAAATCTATCCTCAAAATGATCAAAGGTAATCAAGAGAAGAGACAAACTGAGTATCATAGCTTAATGTAATCTTGCTTACAAGATTTTAGGAACAGAACCACCTCTTCGCGTACAAGCAAAATGAGGACTCTTCAATCCCCTTTTGCTAAGTAAGTTTTGCACTATTTTTAGAAGCCATAAAAATACTAATTTGCATAATGCTAGAACTTTATCACAATTTGAGAGGATTCCAAGTAAGGCTAAAAGCAAGGTAGGGCTTTCTAGGTAATGTATAGCAAAGGAAAGTTCTTGCTTCTTCTCTCCCAAAATTAAATAGTAACATGAACTTCATCATCTTTAGGTATGTTTCCGTCAGCTACCGAAGTAAAAACAGGATTTCAGAAATTTTATTTTATCAATAACAATTCTCCTGAACAATTTGTACTCCATAATGACAAAGTGAAGATCCAGAATCCAGCAGGTAGGCTCAAGCATAGTATCTCTAGAGTACTCAAGGAATCATACGATGTTCTTGAAGAATTTATCAATGAATTCGAAGTTTATGAGGAGGTCTGAGCATTTGAATGCTAAAAAGAATACATTAAGTAAGCATGGAAGATTGCTAACCACTCGTAGATATCAACCTTCCTAGCGCAGACCAGGTTGAACTGATCGAAAAATAAGAGAAGACAGAATGAGGAATGCGATATCGTAATCCTACCTGGTAAAGCAGTTGAGTTGACCCATAAGAGGAAAATTATCAAATCTCCTCAATTCAACACTGAGAGAAACATCGAGAGCAAGGAGTCTTCCGTTTCTCCAGTGAAAATAAAACAAAAGTAACCTATCGAGTAATTTTAGGGTTAAACCTGCCATGTCAAAGATGAAGGTGGTGAAAACAAGTAGACAAAGTGGGATCAATTTCCATCGTTCAAAAGCAACACCCAGGAAGAAGTACGTCTTTCTTCTCTAAATCTCTATAGAAATATTAGACAAGACTCTCCTGTAAACTTCCAGAAAAGGAAGGAGTCCTCTCATCAGCCTGAGAAGTCTAAGCAAGTGGTTAATAAGGATATTTATGAAGATTTTGGGAATAAATTTCTGAGTGATTTACCCAGCTAAAGTTCTAGCAACGAGACAATGGTGATAATATTTTCAACAATTCATATAAAATTTGGGGTTTTGGGGTTTTGGGGTTTTGGGGTTTTGGGG